TTTAAATGTTCTATTGAGTTAGACGCATTTATTTTAAAGTGCATTTAGGTATGAAGTTAAAATTCGGGTGCACATAACTTGTTGATAATTCAATTGTAAGATATGAATCAATTAAATGTTAAAAATATTGTATTTTTTTTTGTTTCTGTCATCTTCTGTTATGTAAAAATAAAGAACATGTAAGTGTGGATACTTATTATTTAACTCTACATTTTGTTAATACTATTTAAAGATTTAGCCCATTAATCAGAATATTTACTTTTAAATTTCAAACTGAAGATAGATTAGGGCGATTAATATGTTTTTTACGCAACTAACATCTTAATATTATATTCACGATTATGCGATTCAGATTTCAATAAATAATGTTTATTGTTCAAGTCAATTGTGCTGTTTGTTTCTGTTTCTGGCAACTTCTGTTACATGAAAATAAAGTAAATGTAAATTCAGATACCTTTTAATTAACTCTAAATTTTGTTAATATTAATGAAACAGTTAGTCCATTAATCAGAATTAATCAATTTAAAACTGATAGATCTGTGGGAGTTCTGTTTTTTTTACGTAACTAACTTCTTCATATTCTATTCATGATTATGCGAATCAGATTTCAATAAATAATGTTATTTGTAAGTTTATTGTTTGAGTTAATTGCGTTTTTTGTTTCTGACAACTTCTGCTGCTTTTTGTAAAAATAGAGAAAATGTAAATAGATATTTTTTTAATTTGACTCTAAATTTTGTTAATACTATTGAAAGAGTTAGTCCCCTAGTCATAATGTTTTCTAAATTTCAAACTAATACAGATCTGGGTGAGTTATTTGACATCACTGACATATTAATATTATGTTCACGATTATGCAAATCAGATTTCAATAAATAATATTGAATATGAGTTTATTGTTTTCAAATAAGTATGGAAATCCAACAGAACCCAACCAATTAAACACTTTTAGAGATCAATAAAAATAAAATTTAAAAAAAAAAATTATCCTCGCACTAACTAGTCAGAATCTTTTTCTCTTCAAATTTTTCATCTTTAGTCGAAATTACACCTTCAAATTATTTCGATTTTTTGTTCCGTATTTCTGCTTTCAAGAAAATATCCGTATTAATCTTAAAAAATATATACCATGAAATATCTTTTTTATGGTAAAAACAGTTTATTTTTTAACTTAACTCTGCGATAACCTTTTCGACATGCAAATTAGAATCCCAACTTTTTCTAGAAATTTGAACATTGCAGTTTTTTTACAATTTATCTATTTCGCCTGCTTGCAAAATACGATGTTTTCAGCTCAGATATGCATGTCAACATAAAAAAAACATGAAAAAAACTGTAAAGAAATATACATTTCTTATACGGACTGACTTATCTAGAAAACAAACCTATTTCAGCTCAAATCCCAAAGGTTTTGAATAGGTTGCGATTTCCGTCTATTCGCTGGACGAAGTAAAAAGTAACAAATCCTTTTGCAAAACATTCTGGGTTGAATCAACCTGCCGCGATCTCCCAGAAGTTGAAATGATTTTTTCCCCTTCCTCAGGGATATTTTTCAGGCGGCTTCTTTATTTTTGGCCTTTTGGGGATAAATTTCAAATGTGCAAGTCGTGACACGGATTTTGAGATGGCCATGCCAAACTCTGAAGCGGTGAAGTCACGTGTACAGATTTTAGTAGCTGTCGTTTTATAGAAAAAAATAAGTGTTGCTTTGTTTTTTTCTTGCCAAGGGTAGGGCTGGTTTGAGAAACGTTCTATTCTGCAAGAGTGAACTCAAACGTGCTATTGAATGCGGGGAAAAGAAAGATTTAGAGTTTTTTTTTTACTCTTATATAATCCTTAAGCAAATATTTAGAAAAATGAAACGGGAAAATTTATTGACCGTATATTTTACATTTACATTTTGTTTAAACGTACTTTAGAATGCAAAACAATTTTTACCATGAATTTTAAGATGAACATATGCTTGCACGATTTTATTTACGGAGTAAAAATACAGAACAATACATTTTTCAAAGAAATTTTGTAGACAAAGAAAACTGAACGAATTAATTAATAGAGCAAAAAAAATTTTTATTTGTAAAAAACAATTTGATAAATCAAATTGGAATTATTAAGAAATGTAACAACAATGCTGATGGTTCATAGAAATCAAACATTTCTTTTCACAGAACTTAAAACCAAGAGTATATTCACAAATATAGTTATGCCGTAAACAATATTTAGAAATATTGGCTGTTGTACTCATCAAAAAAATAAAACTAATCGAAATTGTTCAACTATGTAACAACTATGATAATGGCCCATAACACACCAAGACAAAAAATACAAGCAAAACTACCAAAATATTGTAAAATTTACCATGTTTAAGATTCAGGTAAAATGTACCATGTTATGGAAACACCAAAAGTTGCGATAATTTTTACCGAAGCGCTTTGGTGAAATTGACATTAAAATATGGCTAGATAATATGCGATAAAGTTTGGTAAATATTGTAAAATTAGATAATTTTTATCATGATACCTTAGAGCAGGGATGGGTAAACTGCGGCCGGCGAGCTAACTGCGGCCCGCCGGAAGGTTATATCCGCCCCTCGGATAGAATTTCAACTTGCCAAAAGGGAAGTTTAAGAATTATGCAGATAACTTGAAAAAACTCCATTTTGAGTTGGAACTCATATTTCAAGATTTCAGTGCCATTTAAACAGAGTTAAATATTTTTACCATGACTTTCAATATAAATAGTGAAACAGTGAGGTCGGATTTGCAGCTTGAATTAATTGAGTTGCAATCTAACAATCATCTGAAGCAGTTGTTTCTAAATATGCCACAGTTTGAGTTTTTTGCAAATCATTACCAAAAGCTAGTTTTCCCAATTTATTAAAATCAGTAGTATGTGTGCTTCATCTTATATATGTGAACAAGTCTTCTCTACAATGAACCTTAGAAAAAATCATTTCAGAAGTAGTCAAACAGGCAAGAATGTAGCCTCGCTCCTTAAAATAAGTACACCTTACTTCGAACCTCAATATAAGGAACTTTTAAAAATGAAATCGCAATTTCATTTGTTGCATTAAATACTTAAATTAAAACTTGTAAATCTTTATTTTAAAGATTTTACTTTTATTTTTCAATTTTTTACCCTCGATCAAAAAAGTTTGCCCATCCCTGCCTCAGAGCATGACAGTTCAATTCTAGCATTCGATTATTCATTTTCAGCATTCGATTGAATATGCTTTTTAGCTTTGTATCTTTTACTAAATGTGAGGTAATAAGAATTAAAATTTTAAAAACCAGATTTTCCGAAACATTTTTCCAATATGAGTAGTAAAATTACCTAATAAATAGGTCAAAAACAGTATATTTTGGTTTTATTTTTACCAGAAATGTTATTACCTCACCGTGCAGTAATTTTACCAGAATTGTTTTTTCTGTGCTGTCCAACAATTTTTACATTTAGTAAAAAAGTACATAATGATTATATGATTATAAATTATATGATGATTAATGATTAATTATTATGTGATAATATTAATAAAAAAGATAAACTTAATCCGAATTGTTAAGCAATGTAGCACCATTTATAATCCATTACAGTCCAACAATTTTTTCCCTGAGTTTAAAGGCCCATGTATAATCACAAAAATATTTTTACGAGAAAAGAAGTATTTGGAAAATTGCATTTTTCAGTGGCTTCATACAAAAAATGCGAGTAAGTAAAATATGTTTCGAACTAAAACTATTCATTAAAATTTTGATTATACATGATTTATCAATAAAATAAAATGAAATTATTTCCTATGTAATAATAAGAGATTAAATTAAAAAATCAGTTAATAAATTTAAGATAAATATTTAATGTGAAAAACCTCAACACGACCAAAGCAAATATGAAAGGGAGAAGAAAAAAAAAGAAAATTGATTACATTTGATAAATGTTTAATGTTGTTGAATTTAATTAAGAAAATATGAATTTTTAAAGTAAAGTTAGCTTAGTTTTTATTCCCCTAAGCCTGCTTACTTTTATTAAAATCTTTATCCCAATCACTATGCATAAAAAATAACTCCATAAACGCTTATTCGTGCAAAAAAACTCCATCAGTGCATTTCGTGCTTAATATACCTTATTAACATCTTTCTTTAATAATTTCTTATACTTCTCAGTTAAAATTACTGAATGTTTTTAAGATAAACTAAAAGTTTCCTTGATGATGTTATTGTTATTGTTAATGTAATCTTTTTCAAAAATTAATCCATATGCATTCGAAAAAGATGTTTGATCAGGTGGAATTTTTATTCTGGTATGTATTTTGTGGACTAATACGTACGGAAAAGCATGGAGAATTTTTTCAATACAATTTGAGCACTTTTTTACAGATAAATCTTAAAAAAATAATGAGCAGAAGATAAACAATAACTAATAAGCAAGTCAGTGGGCGAATGTAACAAAATACTCAACATGCCTTATCAGAAAAACTGCAAGAGGCTTAATCTGAAAATTTTATTTTTAAAGTTCTAAAACAGTAAATTATAAATATTTTTAAGCTTACAATCTGAAAGATGAGTGGGACTTTGATGAATAAGCAAAAGAATTTTAATTTTAGGTTTCGCGTAAACTTATCTAATCAAAGAGTCAAAAAATAATTTTTGATCAAAACAAAATTAATTTTAATATTTTTTTTCTCCAAATTTTCCTCACCATTTACAATAAAGATTCAGTTATATTAAAAAAAAACTTGTCGAGCAGACATGATCTTTAAAAATATCCAGAGACATTACAATTAAAATAAAACAAAAAAAATTTCACAAATTAACCAAACTTTACGGTACAGAAAAAAAGACGAGACAAACCACATGAATATTTTTAAAAAAAAAAGAAAAAAGAAAAAAAACTATCCGAGATAAATTATAAAATTAGAATTTAAAAAAAAAATTGAGTCTAAGTTCGTTATACGTAAAAAGTTTTTAATGTTTCTCTATATAAGAATGTGCTTTTATACTCACATCCACTCTAACTCCTTGAATAGGCAAGAACTGCCCTGGTGGCCAATCATTAGGAACATATCTGAAGAACTCTACATCATCTTTGTACCATTTCACTGAATACAATTTATCTCCATCCAACTGATAACTGCAGATCAGCTCGACAGATTCACCGTAATTTGTTGGACTAGGCACATCCATCATAAGCATTCGGATTGCGGCAAAACTTGAAATGACTAGAATAAAAAAAAATCAAAACAGTTATTAGGCTTTCAGTGAAAGGCCAGTAGGCAAAAAATTGGATAAACAAAAAAAGTAAAAATGGTTGATTATGAAATTAAATATGGATAAATAACTATTTGCACAAAATTACAAATAAACAAAGGACAAACAATTACATAAATATATTTTTAAATTACAAGAATAGCAGCTTTATTACAATTAATTAAATTAAAAAGTGGTTTTCTCAATTGCTACTAAATAACAAAAGGGGAAATAACGAATCAAGCTTCAGGCAATGTGACAAAACTATTTTATTTCTAACTTATTATCTGGAAAAGTTAATATTAGTTAATACCATGAATTATTAAAGATCTGTACAAATAACAAAAAGGGTTGCTTCTTGCCTAGAGCTTATCCCCAAAACCTAGAAATGATACAATTTTATAACCGGTTTTTCTCCTTTCTACGTACACCACTAGGCAAGAGTTTTGTGACGGTAAATCAGTAGTAAAAAGAGTAAAAGGCAAAACATCAGAGCCACTTTGATTGCCTGAGAAAACTATAGTTTGTCTTAAAAAGAACTCCCCTAGCCATTCTTCTAAAGTGATGGCGGTGATTATGGTAAAGAGGTTTAGCTATTTCAAGTAAAGGTGTTGGATCATTATTCAAGACAGGTTTTGACTCCGGTTGGTGAGAGAAAGGAAATCAGGGGAGAAAGAAGCTCCCCTCTTTGGAATGTGCTATTTCTTGTTTCCATAGCAGCAAATGGTCGTCGACTTAGTGGCGAGGGGAGTTCTTTCTATAGGCGAACTACAGAAATTGTAGATTTTAATCACTTCCTCTGTGTTTACTCGGGCATTTGAACAACTTTTGATGTTTTTAGTACCTGATTCTTGTGCAGCTTGTTAGACTTCAATAACACTTTTATTTAACATATTCCTTGAATGCATGTCTTTTGCAATCCGACAAACATATTTCTTAGACTTCTTTTGTCAAGGACTCTAAAAATACTTTTCAAGACTGTTTTTATCTGCGTCGTAAGATGAAATGATGCTCTTTTACGAATAATATGCTATTTTTATAACTGCTGTGAGTTTGCAAATGTTACTAAACGTTGAGTGTGCAAGAAGAGTTTGCAATTATACTGTTAGATCAAGTTCAACCTATCTAAAGCCAGTGCTGCCTACGCTTGTTTTGAAAATGGAGGAAAACGTCAATAATGAAAAAAGCCGCAGCTCTGTGAAAATAAAAAGCTTTTGTGGTCTAATTTTCAATATTTAAAAGCTATTACTCTAATGCTGCCTTACCTGGGCTCATAAGAATTTGCGAAACCTGAGAATAAGGCAGTGATTTTGACAATTTTCATCTAGGTTGAAAATTGTCGCCAAATTAGCGATTCTTAAAAAAAATTAAAAGCTTTTTAAAATATGAAGTTCTCTTCTCTAAAGCCCAGATAGTTCAGAGCGGCAAGGTCATATACATAGTCTAAAATCATCGCACAGCGTCAAGTGTAAGTCACTTAAACTATGTTTTTTTTTATTTTCCTTAGCGACAGAGTTTCGAAAACCGGCGTTAAAGATAGTTTCAGGGAGAATATAATAAGCAAGTGAAATAGTTTTTAGAAAATGTATCTTATTTCAAAAAAATGTATAAGCCTATTAGTTATTTTCTTTTCTGGGATTGCAAGTGGAGTTTAAAGACAACAACCAAATTATACTCAAGAGTACAAAAGTAATGAGTTTACAAAAATGCCATTAAAAGCATACGCATCTATTCAGTTATACTGAAAGATAATGAGAATCATTGTTCACAGCTGTTTAAAATTGGTTTTGAAAGTAAATCAAAAATAATTCTTTAGATCAAAAGCAAATGGGTTTGAGTAAAAGAAAATTTCCACATCAGAAGAAAATTGAGTCTCGTTTAAAAAATATTCTCTTTCCTCTCTCAGGAATTCAAATTTTGAAAGAGAGCTGTTACATTTTGTTTTATTTGATTAAACCCCAACGCTAACCGAAATCAACGCAAAATTATACCACTACTCACAGCTGTTTTCAAATTAAAAAGAGAACTAATTTTCGAAAGGTGATTCCGTTTAATATGAAATTGTTCGTTATTTAAAATGAAAACATAACGATAAATTTTTTTTCTTGCCTCTCTTGAAATACATAATATTTTATGCTTACATTTTAGAACCAAGTAAGAAAAATTATAAATAGTACCAGGAGAATGATAGAAATTAAAATCAATGTCTTCAAATCATAATGCAAAAATATTTATGCTGTATTTTAAATTTTCGTTAGAAAATAAATCTTAATAAGATGTGTTATAATTAGGGTTCCCTTTGTGGTTCCATTAAAATACAAAACATTTTTGTTTTCATTTTAGACGTAAGTAATATATTAAAAATAGTAACAGGAGAATGATAGAAATTAAAATCAATGCCTTCAAATCATAATGCAAAATTATTTTGACTATGTTTTAACTTTTAGTTAGAAAATAAATCTTAATAAGATGCATTATAACCAAGCAAGATAATAATAGCAACTAGTTTTTAATTCCTGTTACTGCCTCTGCCTTCGCAAATAGCTGACGTAAGGTCACAGTAATTTCCCGTAAAGGGTAAACCCCTTGAGATTTTGAAAAGTAGAAGAAAGAACGACGAAATAAATTGAATGCAGCCTGAGGAAGCAGTTCCCATACAGTGTTCCGTGGAACCCTACGGTTCCCCGGAAGGGTCACAGGAGTCCCGAAATAATTCAATTTATATCCGATTCATTACACATAATTTATTTAACATTAATTCGTATGAAATTATGTTATTAAAATGCTGGTTTAGAAAGAAAGGCAATTTACAATAAAAGAAATCTAATAATTTCTATAATATTAACTATAATATTCAAAGAATAATGAAAGGAACACCATTTATGAAAAATTGCATTAGTAATTTGCATAGAATAGAAATGACCAAATTTAACAGAGAAGAAATATATCAAACCCTTCTCAACGCATATTTTTTTTTCTAAAACAGCCAAGAACTAAACCAAAAAGAAATTTTGCAAAATGTATAGTAATAAGAACTATATTTTTGAAAACCCGGTTTTCCGGTTAACCGTTACTATATGAACGGAAAAATTACTCAACGTAAGGTTTAAATACTGTATATTTTATTATTATATTAACCAGAATTATGGTGCTTTCTTTTTTTTCTGAAATATTGTTACCATACAATACGACAATTTTCCACAAATTTTTTTTCTTCGTATACGTGGGTATTATTGTATACTTCAATGTAAATAGATGTCATAAAAGAAGTACAAATTGGAGGGATGAAAGAAATGTTCCTTTATTTTAACGATATTAGTGTTTTCTTAACAACAAATATTTTCATTTTCTAATTCATATTTATCAGCATTTACGGGAAATATCTAGATTCTGAGATATATTTATTTTCCGCATAACCTTATTTTATAGCTATTAGAGTAATAAAAACTTTAGATCTCAGTTATTTACCAATAGTGATATGTTGTACTTTTTAGTAACAATATGTATTTTGTATTCAATTTCAAATACACATGACAGAATAATTGACATCCAGTTTGCTTTAAAATTTTCGCTATCTCATATCATATTTTCCTGAACCTTAAGAATTTTTATAGTTCTTTTATTTTCTTTAATTTCACCTTTTATTTTTTTTTTTGTACAGAACTATACTGTAAAAAATTCCGGATCAAAAGACGGTAAAAAGTACTATACAGTAGATACAACTGCATAGGTACTTGTATCTATACTTTTTACAGTAAAATACATTTTTACAGGAGCATGTCACAGAACAAAAATCTAATAAATCGTACATTTTACAGTAATAATTACAGTGAAAGACCTCAATCAATCCAATTAAATAAATTTTACTGTAAAATTAAAAATATAATATTTTTACGATAAAATTGGATTCTTCGGCTGGTGACCCCAAAGTGCCGGTACAATATAACGTTATTTGATCCAAAATTTTCTACTCTGTACTTAGCAACAACTTTCGTAAGCTTTTGTTTTTGCTCATTATAGCTGCTTTTGGTCTGATTCATTTTTTTATCATGTCCATGGACAATTAAATGGTCTCGTGTGCCTTCAAAACTGCATCCGCTAGCTCCAATACATCATTACTGCAGAGGGTCTCACGAAGTTCTGAAGCCAGTGAAGCCGAAGTTCCGAAGTTCTGAAGCACCATACCCAGTTGTAAAACATATGGGGTAAGGGCTGGACACTCGAGAATGTGATCCGGCGTAAGTTGGATATCGGTGCAGTTCTTGCACGGAATATAAGTTCTTATTGTATGATTCATTAAACTATTAATTCAATATTTTTAGAAACATCCACACCTTCAAAAAACAGCAATTTTAAGAAATAAAAAAGTGTTTTGAAAGAAAAATTTCACAATCTTTAAGTAAATAGCAAAACAACCAAATACTTTTATTTATAAAACAACTACCAACTGCACGTGATCGCCTTTATTTACGCTTAGCTTTTACGGACAAATACTATTGATGGATAAGATGTACTTTCACTTTCTCTGGGAAAAACAATATTTTTCCTAATCTTTCCATATTTATCTCTGCTGTTTAAGAAAAAGATGAAACGGAATCTTTGCTAGCCAAAGAATCTGGCAATATTCCAGAGGGAACCTGATATTTCTCTTCCCGAAATAAGATAGTAATCCTTACATTTCGTGTACATCCAAACCTCATTGATTTTCCCTGAAAAAGCGCTAAATACCATTCTTTAAGTACTTAAGGCCGGTACATTATTTATTTTATAACAACCGAGAATGCTTCACTTTTAGGAGATAGGGACTTGAATCAATAGAGACATGATCGTTTTATCAATAAATCGCTTCTCGACCGCGAGAAAATGTTGCCAAATTCCCCGTTCGTGACGATGTTTTCATGATGATCGCCAAGTTTAAATAGCGATAAACAAACTTGCTGATATCTAATGAAAGGGAGAACTGCTTTG